TTTTGAGACAGAGTCTCATTCTGTCACTCCGAGTTTGAGTTCTGTGGTGTCAGCAACTTCAAACTCTTGGGCTTAAGCAATCCTCTTGCCTCAGTCTCCTGAGTAGCTGAGACTACAGACTCCCACCACAACACCCAGCTAGTTTTTTCTATTTTTAGTAGAGCTGGCTCAGGCTGATCTCAAACTCCTGAGCTCAAGCAATCCACCCACCTTGGCTTCTGAGAATGCTAAGATTACAGGTGTGAGCAACTACGCCCAGTCATGAAGTCTTTATTTCTGGAATTTTCCATTTAATATTTTCAGACCACAAGAAACTGAACTCTCAGCAAAACAAAGGATAAAGGGAAATTACTGTAAATAGACTTTTTTTTTTTTAAGTTGCTTATAGATTCATTTGGGAAAAGACAAACCAAACAACAGTTATAATGTGCTGACAGCTAGAGGAAAGAACCCTAACTAATCAAGAGGCTAGGGGCGGCATCTGTGGCTCAAGGAGTAGGGTGCCAGCCCCATATACCAGAGGTGGTGGGTTCAAACCTGACCCTGGCCCAAAACTGCAAAAAAAAGAGGCTATGGAATTTGGGGAGTGAGTGGAAAAAGGAAGGTGTGATGTAGAAGGATGGTTAAGAGCATTCTTAGACACTGAGGTCAGGCAAACCTAGGTTTGAATTCTATTTCTACTATTTACTATTTATATACTTCTCTTTGGAAGTACTCCAAACTTTCTCTTTGTTCTTCCTATTTATATGTGACCTCCTATGAGTTACTTCTTAGCCTTCTCCATCTATAAAAATATAATAGCACCTATCTCTTCAGTATATTTAGAGTATTAAGCAGGACAGTGTATGCAAACTATTTTGCAGATGTGTTTAGTAAATGCTAGTTAGCTTTTGTTTCTAGGGAAGAAAAAATTCTTCAGTTCAAGTCTAAAGAACAAGAAAAGTTAGTCAAGCAAAGAAGGAAGAAGAAGCTTTTCCAGGTAGAGAGAATAATGTGTTCCAAAGCACTAAGGCGTGACACTGCCTGGCATGTTCTTAAAGTTTGAGATGGAGTGCACAGCTGGAATATGGAAAAAAAAGGATGAAAAAGGAATATATAATGTCTTAGGTTTCTTTCTTTGGTAGATAATGGTGCCATAGTGAATGTAGGAAGATGGACATGTTTAGGGGGAAAGATAAATTTATTTTAGAATTTTGAGTTTGGATTTCTTGTGGGACATCCAATTAAGTGCTTAGCAGGCAGTTTGACTTACAAATCTTGACATACATAAAGAAATCTGAGTTGGAGACACAGGTTAGAGAACTGAGTTTATGGATGGTTGAAAAAGCTATGATTGTGGATGAAAGCCATCATTTTTTGTAGTATGTACAGAGAGTAAAAAAAGTGGAACAAGAGTGGTGGTGGGCTCGGCGCCTATAGCTCAACCGGCTAGGGCGCCAGCCACGTACATCTAAGGTGGCGGG